ATCCGAATAGAAAGGGTACAGTACAGGTTGTATTCGAATAGAAAGGGTAGGACCTGCACCGTTTCAATTTCGAAAAAGGACTACCCGCACCGTTTCAATTTCGAAAAAAGACTGCGGCCTCCTACTCGCAGCGACCGGTCCTGGACCGCGCAGCTACCGGTCCTACGCAGTCCTGGCCCTTGCAAGGCCCCAAAACCAAAAAATGACCACCCTCCCGACGACCACGACGTTGAAATTTGACGTTGAACGTTGAATGTCTCAGGGGGGGGAAAGCACATCCCTGACGGGCTGCGAACTTCGCAGCCCTGAAGGCTACTGTATGGCAGGGTGCTGCGTCTCTACCCAAGGCTCGTCTTCTGTTGCTTGTCCAGAAGAACGACGGGTGCAATGGGGGTTCTGGTTCTTGAGGGGTCATGGGAGACTGGGACCAGCAACTATTGGTTTTTCAATTGTGTAAGGTCCGTGGTTCTCAAGAGTGTCGTCAGGCTATGAGCAGGGATTTAGGCTGGGAGGGGTGGTGCGAAATTCGTCGGAGTACCCTAACCTTTTTAATTTTTTTCCTTTTTTTTTACAATTTAGAGACGCTTCGTCTAGCGAGCCTGCTGATTTACTCTATCCACTCGAGTGGCCTTTCTGCCGTATTTCTCGGTAGAACATAAGAGAATTTTTCATGTTTTTACCTTTTGTAATTGGAGTTGTTTAAACAAGTGTTTATCCTGAGGTATTCCTAAAGTGTATGCATACCTCTGTAAGTAGCTAGTACAACATGGGAAATTTGGGTCCTAAAGGGACTTTGTATTTGATCGGCCGCTGACAAAAAAAAAGAAGATAGCCATGTTCGACAAATTTCTCAAGCTCATAAAGTACCACATTGGATAGAAGACGGCCGAAGGGCCGACCAATGTGGTCGTCTTTCGATAAAGCGACCGACCGTATAAGAGGCCGCTTTATCTTATACAGGTGTCTTCGCACAAGAGTCAAGAATCTATCATCTTGAATCTTCTTATGGAGAAGACTCATCAATATTTGGTGGTCGATTGTACCGAAGCATTTGGACCTTCGGCCTTCTATGTACCAGACAGTCGCCCCTCGAAAATTTTGGCTTACCCTACGGTGTTTGCCATACCATTTGAGCAGTACTAAGAGGCGACAAAAAATGCTTCGCTTATAATCTCTAAGGTTCCTCTTCGATAAAACTATGGCGAGTTTGTTGATTGACCAATGAATTTGGAACTTCCAACTCTAAGGCGTTTAAAATCAATGAATTGTCCTTAGCAAGAACAATTGAAAGTTACTTCCGTTTGCACCACGTGGTTTTCGGAGCGCAGGTACCAGGTGGATAGCATTAGCGCTCCGGTACCGGCGTCGCAACGCGTCTCGTTGTGCATAGCGCTGTTTGCCTGAGAGCCTCGCTGTGGTGAGGTGGTTCAGGTTGGAGGTGATGCACTCCCCACTACGAGAGCGGTCACTCCATCACCTCATTGAACAATCTCGTAGTTATGGTAGAGTAGGAGATTGTTTACCGCGTGGGCGCGGGGGAACGCAGCCCTGAGGTAGCTAAAGCAATGAGACTAAGAGTGTGCACAAGAGAGAGAGAGAGAGAGAGAGAGAGAGAGAGAGAGAGAGAGAGAGAGAGAGAGAGAGAGAGAGAGAG